AATAAATAAATAAAAACATCATTTGGGCTATTTTTGATATTTATCTATTACAATTTGTGCTTCTATAATCATGAATGTGTGTATACAACTTTGGTGTGATGATTTCAATTCTTTCTGGAAGATACCAAGAAGGGGAATTGTGGAGGTCCATATGGCTCTCCTTGAAAGAAGAGCATGTTTCCATTTGAGCTAAACCTGGCCCTGACTCCCATGTATTTTTTTAAATAAAGGATCTTGCTATAAAGGTCAGGCTGGCATTCAGTTCACTTTGTATCCCAGGCTGGTCTTGAGCTTGCAACAATCCTCCTGCCTCAGCCTCCCAAGTGCTGTGATTATGTGTGCACCACTATACCCAGCTCCATGTATTGCTATGCATAAAACTGTCTAGGATATTTTTGTGTCCCATCAATTGGCTTTAAGTGATGCAAATGGGTTTATCCAAGGTGCTGATGTATAGTTTTTAAAGCAATGTGACAGGTCAATGGTGTCCTGCCTACAGCTCCAAACTAGTATGCATGAGAGAGGCTGAGTGAGCTGCATTGTTGGCTGAGACTGAAGCTCCAGAAAGAGGATCTGATGTCTCAGGGCATGAAGACTACAAATCAAAGCTGAAGCACCAATCCCCAAACACAAACTACTTCCCCAAGCTGTGTCACGTAGATTGCTCTTTCTCAATACTTCTGTCTCTGTGAATTGCAGAGGTGCTATCTTGTCTCCTACCCAGTCCAGCTCACAGCCTTCACTTACTTATACCATTTACACAGTCACTCATCCTGCCAGACACTCCCTTCTTCATAAATTAATAAAATTTTGGGTTGTCCCTGGGTTGAGGCCTTTCTTCTGGTTATCCATTGTTCTCACTGGACCTAGGATCCTCTTAGCTCACTAGCATTATAGATATGTTATTGTGTTTTTATTCTCAACATGACTTGCACTGGAAGTGGTAGATTGGAATTACTTATTGGAATTCCAATAACTTTTCCCTGAGGCTACAAATGTGGACTTCTGGATCATAATGAGGCTGGTAGAGAAAAATCTCTATAGGGGATATCTAGGTCAAATGGAACTTTTAGTTTTAGTTTTTTAATTTAATTTAATTTTGAAATGTAAAAAGGAAAGCAAGGACAAAAATCATAAAGAGAGAAACAGGGTAACATACAACAATATATATGTTACGGATTTTCAAAACAAGAATAGCTGATTAACAATAGCTGATATATTATCTATTTTTGTCATCAAATCTGTTGCTCAGATTAATGGATATATTTATCTAAGATTGAACATATGATTGAATATTATCGCTTGCTTTCAAGAAACCTTAAATTTTGTTCTTGTCTCTATTTTCCTTTTCACCTTTTTAAAAATTATTTTAATCCAATATAGTCCAGTAGTCCATATTTAAATGGCAATGGAATACACATCTCTGACAAAACTAAACATAAAAAGAGGATACAAATGAAGGACCATTTTGTATCTGTATATACAAAATTGTTAGGATAGATATACAGCTACTTTCTCTTAATTTAATAAGAAACATTAGTACTAATAGTGTTTGGACAGGATATGATGTCTGCATCTTGTACTATGAATAACTACTACAAAGACAATATGCAATGTATGAATTATTGTTACTATCCTACTAACCTGTTTTGAAACTGTCTCATTGCTATTTGTTTTTCAATAATACTAATAAAAAAGAGAAAAAAATAACCCGTACAATAAAAAATTATTTTAAAAGAATATAGTAATAATTGATATAACATTAGAAATGGTTCACATTTAGAAGGCCAAGATGACAGATATTCAAGCATGATTTTTGTATTACACATTGCTGTCTTCAATGTAGTTGCTTAGATGGCAGATAACAGCATACAGAGTCAAGGTGAAAATTCTACACATCAACTGCTCTTTTCAAAAGAAAAAATGGCATGCTTCATGAATTTGCAAGTCATCCTTGTGCAGAAGCCATGCTAATCTTCTCTGTATTGTTCCAATTTTAGTATATGTGTTGCCAAACTGAACACTAGCTTTAGTTTTGAAGAATGTCCCCACTGGTGTCTGCAGTGGTTGCCCCAGCGTACACACTCAGCAACAGTGGAGAAGGGTTCCTCTTCCCCTACAGCTCATCCAACATTTGTTGTTGTTTAACTGGTTAATGATAGCCACTCTTTTTGGACTGAGATGGAATCTCAACATTGTTTTAATTTGAATCTTTCAAGGGACCAGTGATGGTGAACCTTTTTTCACATATTTATTTGCTGTTTATACTTCTTTGCCCAAGAAATGTCAATTTATTTCACATGCCCACTTTTTTGAACGGGGTCTTTAAAACTGAGGGTTTTTTTTTAGTTCTTTATATGTCTTTTGAGTAGGAGGTGGTGAATTTTTTCTCCACACTCTAGGTTGCTTCTTCAATCTGTTGTTGATTTCTTTTTCTGTGCAAAAGCTTTTTAATAAGCTGATATTTCAGTTGTTCATTCTTTGCAATATTTCTTGTGTTATCAGGGTTTTTTCATAAGTCTTTGCTTACACCTGTCTTCAAGAGTTTTACTTATTCTATCTTGCAGAATATTAATTGTCTCTGTTTTAATATTTGGATAGTTGATCCATTTTAATTTAATTTAGTGAATGGTGCAAGGTATATGTCTAGTTTCAATTTTCAGCATTAATTTCTATCGCCATGTGCCATAGTTAAAATAGATCAAAGATCTAAATATTAAAACAGAAACAGCAAATCTGGAAGGAGAAGTAAGTAGAAAATTTGAAGACATGGGGTAGGCAGAGAGTTTATAAACAAAAACCAACTGCACTGGAAATACATCAAAGTATCAACAACTACGATATTACCTCATTAAAAAGATTTTGCATAACAAAATAAATTAACAACAGAGTAAAGACAACTCATAGAGTGGAAAAAATTATACCCAGTTGTTTCTCAGAAAAAGAACTTATATTGCAAACATGAATGATTGAAAAATCTGGCTCCCCCAAATTCAAATACTCAAACCAAAAATCAGCATCTGAGATACATACACACTTTTCAGATCAAGAAATACAAATGGCAAATAAATATATGCAAGAATGTTTAACATTATTGCTCATTCAAGAGATGCATATTAAAACAACCCTCAGATTCCATCTTATCCCAGAAAGAATGGTTATTTTCGAGAAATCAACCAATAACAAATGCTGAATAGGGTATGGAGGAAAAAATGCTGTAATAGGAGTGTAGACTAATGTAACCATTGCCACTGTGGAAATCAGTATAAAGAGTCCTCAGAAAATTAGGATTAGAGGTCCCATTCAACACAGCTATTCCTTTTTTGGTTATCTTCTCAGAAGAATTAAAAAACATCATATCACAGAACATATGTGCACCCATGTTTATAGTAGTACAATTTATAGTGGATAAATCTTGGAAACAACCCAAATGCCAATTAACTGAGCAATGGATAAAAGAGATGTAATTTATTAATAGAATGGAGTACTACCCCTCAATAAAGAGGGATAAACTATAGACTTATATAGGAAAATGGATGCAATTTGAGAACATAAACAGAAGTGAAATAAATAAGACCCATATGTATAAACATTGTATTTTCTCACCTGTATGAGAAACTGAATGAGTAAAGAAATGTTAAATATGCAATAAATATTGTAAATAGGGAAGAAATTTTTCAAAAGAAAAGAAAAACTATGGTGAGTGAAAGGGGAAAGGATGAAAGGGGAGAAGACAACAATACTTATTGTATTAATTATTGTAACTGTCTCACTAGCTTGATTTGACACTCTATTTGATTTTTATTTTGTGCTCTTCAGTTTAGTAAAAAAGGATGAGGTGACTGAGCATATTTGAAGTATTTTCTGCATCTTCTATTTTTTTTCTATTGATGGTTGGGTCTGTTTTTTTCCCCAGTAGCTTTGTAATGTATTTTCAAGTCAGAGATTGCAATTTTCCATCCATATCTTGCCTTTTTTACCCAGAATTGCTTTTGCTAGTCTAGATTTCTTCTAGTTCTAAATGAATTTTATGATTTTTTTGTAATTGTTTGGTGTATGCTATTGGTATTTCTATTGCAATTATGGTTAAATCTGTACAACAGTTTTGGAAGTATGGCCATTTTCACTATATTGGATCTGCTTACCCAAGAATAAGGTGTATCTTTCCATTTTCTTATATCTTCCTTGATCTCTTTTTTCAGAGTACTGTAGTTTTCAATGCAGAGGTCTTTTGCTTCCTTTATTAGATTGATTTCTAGGTATTTCACTTCTTTTCATGCCATTGCGAAAGTTGTGGTTTCCTAACTTCTCTCTCAGTGAGTTTGTTATTTGAATAGAGAAATGCTATTAGTTTTCAGTGCTCACCTTGTATCTTTTAAAAAAATAATTTTCTCAATCAGGGATGACTGGATTTGCTTTCAAAGTGGATCTTGTCGGGAACTGGGGAGATGGCTCTGTGGAATAAACACTTCCATGGAAAGCACAAGGGCCTGAGTTCAATCCCCTGTTCTAAAAAAAAAAAAAAAAAAAAGTGGGACATGTACAGTTTTTTTCTCATTTATTAAACACTTAGATTTATAGCTGCATTTTTATAATTAGATATACCAACTTAGAAACCTGAATATAGAAAGGTTTCCATTTGTTTTTACTTTCTTTTCTCATTTTTTGTTTTTACTTTCTACAGTGTCCTTTAAAAGAAATGAAAATATTTCTCCAAACATTTATTTGGTTTAAATACTCTTTAAAGTGTGTGTGCACATGTGTGTGTGTGTGCCTCCTAGAGGTAGTCCAACAGGATCCTGTGAAAGGGTCTTTAGTTACTTTAGATTAATGCTTTGTTATGAACACTATTATGGGCTTAATACCACAAATGTGTCACTTTGGTATATTGAATAGTTTAAACTCAAGGTATTCATGAACAGCACAGAAGGCCTAACCCTTTCTTGTCCTTCTCCTCTGAAGCATGCCATAAAACATAGATGAGATTTTCTCACTTTCCATTAACACAAGTCAGGTGATCTTCTCACAAGAGGTGCCATTCCTACACCAACAGAAATAGACAATACTTATCTCAGAAGATGGAGGATGGACAGATAAGAATCTTAAAAAGACCTTGTTTTCTCCCAGGTTTTACCTTTAGTTCCAGATTATTACCATTAGATCATATGTTTTGCCTGAGCATGTTTTTTCAGCTTTCCACTCTTCATCAATTTTTGTATTAAAATGAGCATTTTTCCCTGTTTCATTGGCTATTCAGCTCTTTATGACATACAAGACATTTCAAATAAATTTGTATGCTTGCTATTGCTAATCAGTCCTTAGCCATGGGCCTATGATGGGTGGAGAAAATATTTTTTCTCTGTCCTATAATTGACTGTTGCTTGACGTAAGAAGAGTTATTCTTTGAGAAATCTTGTTAAGTCCATTTATAAAACACAAACCAAAATTATTACTCAAATGACCACAGAAGGTAACCAGAGATATTTAGACAGGAGATGAATGACATTAATTACTTCTTGGCAAATAAATTGCTAACTGGATTCCAAAATGGACTATGAAATCAGGGTTTTATATATTTAATGTCCCTTTCATCTTTGCATTCAGTACTTATGAACATAATATTTGGATCCTACCAGTTGTTACTATCTAATCTAGTGTGAAGATGAGGCATGTAGCACATGACGATGGTTGAGTTATTTCTTCTAAGAATTATTGTGGTCTTTGTATGGAGGAATATATCATTATCTAGAGTAGAAAATTGGCAATAGCAGGCATGTGGGGAGGTAATGTGTGCTGGAAGATGATGGCTATAAAATGACACTGAGAAAAGACACTGTGGGGAGACTGAAATATCATTTTATGTTTCCGAGTCAAGTGCTATATCGGTTCACAGCAAAATGAACGTTTTTTTTTTTTAATTTTCTTTTACTTTTTTAGATCTTCAGGGAAGAAAGATTAAGAAAATGGTGGTACTCTGGGCATGAAAAGAAGTTTCAATGTTCATGAGACAGGGAAACTATTTACCAGTGCCTGGCAAATTATAATAGGAAAATGTTAAAGAGGCATTCTAGTAGTACTGCCCAGGCCCAAGGAAAGCTGCAAGCATAGAATCCAGCAGAATGTGATCCCACAGAACTGACACCACTAGATTGAAAAATAGATTCTCTTCTGTGAATTGCTTTCTCTTCTCTTCTCTTCTCTTCTCTTCTCTTCTCTTCTCTTCTCTTCTCTTCTCTTCTCTTCTCTTCTCTTCTCTTCTCCTCT